TCGACTTCGTCGCCACCGCGGCGAAGCCCTCGTCGCTCGCATCGGTCATGTAGACCGTCGTGTGCCGGCCCAACTCCAGGTTCGCCTCGAAGAAGATGGCCAGCGACCCCAAAGCCCTCAGCTCGCCCAGCACGGCGACGGGAAGACGCTGCAGCTTCTCGGCGTCCTCGTCCGTGAAGTTGCCGACCCGCCGATGGCAGGCGTCCAGGATCGCAAAGGCAGGCCTGCAGACCAACATCGCCCACGCCCAGCAGCAAATCACCGTGGCCAGCTCCCGCGGTCGCACGGACCAAGTCACCGCAATCGCCTCGGCGCAGATGATCAGGTCCTTCGTCTTCTCGGGGTAGAGCTTCCGCGTGCAGGGGCGCCCCGATATAGTAAGTCCTGGCCCGCGCCGAAGTCCCCCCCCCCGCCTCCTCTCTGCGCGCTGCGAGGCCCCTCGCAGTCAAGTAGCTCCGCGCGTGGCCATTGGTCACCTCGAGCTCCACATCCTCAGGCCTATGTTGTCATCGATGGTCCTCAGCCCCTCAGCCCCTCATCCTCAGGCCCATGCAGTCATCGATGGTCCTCGAGGACCTCGAGCTCCACATCCTCAGGCCCTTGGCCCCCGTTCTCCACGAGCTTCCGGCCCGCGCAGTCGCCGACGCGCAGCGACAGCAGAAGCTCGGCCCTGGCAATCCTCGGACACGCCCTGCCCAGAGTAATCCGCTCCGTGGACAGACCATCCCATGGGCCCGAAGCAGTCGACACGGGCAGAGTGGGCCAGGAAGACCGCCCAGGCAGCTCCCATGACCGGCGCGACTGGCCCCGCCCCCGCGGGCGGGGCGGGGAGGTCCACTCCAGCTTCCTTCGCAAGGTTGCGCAGCTTCTCGGGCATAACCCCCTCGAGCGCGAAGTGTTCCGCCAGTCCGTCCGCCCACCTCAACCTGTAGAACCAGTCTGGCACGTCCCCCTGGAAGCTCCCCAACACTCGGCCCTTCAGGATGTCGCTCGTCAGCTCCAGCTCGGACAAGGCGGATGGCGACCCCAGCGGTGTCCACGGCGGCCGCCGAAATAGCAGATTCACCTTCCGAGCGTCCCAGATAAGGCGAGATTTGACCACGTCCCGCCCATTCTCGCTCACGTCCTTTGCCACGCAGAGCCCCACCGTGTGCTTCACCTCCTTGACGTACTGAACCATACCTGATTGCATCATCTTTATGGCCACGGTGAGCTTGGTGCGTCGATCCTTCCAGCCTGGATCGGAGTAGCTCTTGATGCTCGCGTGCTTCTCCCAGTCCATCTCTTTCGGGCCCTCCAATATCCGACCCTCGAAGCGCCCCAGGTAGGGCGCCGCGGTCGCCGAGAGACCCATCAGATGCAGGCCCGCAGGCCCTGGAGGCGGCAACGAAACCTGGTCCGCCACCATCCTGCAGAGGTCGCCCTTCTTGATAAACGTAGTAGATGATGTAGTCTGCTTCTTGCCGCACCTTCCGCCTGCCGTATAGCCCGTGCTGTCGGACCCCCGTAGACGGCGAAGTACCGCATTGCCGTCGCCGATGCTCCCCCGCGCCCCAAGAGAGGCGCGGCGATCCCAGATGTCGTGGACCACCCTGCGCTGGAGCCCAGTCGCCTCCGACCACGAGCTCGGCACAGCCGCCCCATCGGCTGCGCCAACCCGCCCAGCAGCAAGAGCACGTAGAGACCGAACCGTCCGACAGGTACGCAGCCAAGTCAAACGCAGCTGCTCCGCCGTGAAGCCCGAGCTCGAGGCCCTCGACGCCAGCGGTCCCGTAGGCGAAGGCAGGCTCCGAAGTGGGTCCCTCTCTCGGAAGTCCATCATCATCCGGGTGACGTAATGGAAGCACCCACTCACCTGGAGCGCCACGTAGATTGGGCGCAATGGTGTGGCCCAGGCCCGCGATGTACAAGACACGGCCTGAATTCGACTCGCCCCGCAGCCCAGCGTCAACTCGGCTAGCGAGGCTCAGCGCGGCGAGCCCGAGGGCGCCAACTCTCCTGCTCCACCCTCGACCTGACGATCTCCCCGCTGGCGATCCCGACGCAGCACAGGTCCACAGGAGTGAGCACATCAGTGCGAGACTTACCCAAGGGACGCCACTCCAAAATGTACCCTCGGGTCACCCCTATTCGTCATCCCTGGGCGCCGCGTCCCGCACCGACGTCAGGTGCTTCCGGATCTGCGCCTTCTTCCTCAGCTTGTCCGTCACCTAGTCGTCCGCCAGGGTGTCCTCGATGGTGTCCTGCGAAGTCAGCCTCAGGTACTCATCACCGAGCGACCAGTCGACCTTAGACTTTCACTTAGCCCCACTCGCGTTGCGAGGCCTCTTCCAGTCGTTCTCGCACGTGACGCCCTCGTAGGCCTTCATGATCGCGTGCATCCTGAGGCAACTCAGCTCGCTGGCCTGGGAGTTGATCAGTCCCTTGAAACCACCAGAGGCCATCATGCGGTCTAGCGTCATGGCGAGGACCAGTATCTCGTGGGCGATGGGGGCATTGGTGAGCTCTTTACTCCTCAGCCACTTCTGCACCTCGAGCTTAGCAGAGCGGCCCCCCCCCCCCCCTGTATAGACCTTGCTCAGCACCGTCCGCGCGACCCGACTCTTGATCCCTCCAACGCGCATGTTGGGGACGTGTCCGTAGCCCTTCAAGGTCTGGAGGAGGGCGTCCCTGGGGTTATTGCTCTCCATTTCCAGCTGGGCGATCGTGTCCGAGACCGAGCCTGACGGGACTGGCGGAAGTTTCTCCCGCTCCGACTCCGAGGACGACCTTCTTGCTTCGCGCCCGCTGCCCCTCGCCCCCCGTTCGGAGTCGCTCTTCACCAGCTCCTCGTGCTCGTTCAGCTTGGCGATGAACTGGTCCAGCTGCGCCGACGTCGGCACAGCACTCCCCTCGGCGGAGCTGACCGACCCACCAGTAGGCCTGGTTGGCGGCTCCGTGCTGCCCTGGTTCAACGCCTCCGTGATCGCCATCAGCCCTGCTCGCAGCTCATTCTGCCCTCGCTGCAGCTCGGCGTGCAAACCCTTCGCGTCGGGTTCGTCGTCCGAGTCGGGCACCGTGGTCCCAAGGATCAGCTCGCCATCGGACGCGTCGGACTCCGAGTCGGAGTCCGCAAGCCCTTGCCACTGGCGGAACATGTAGTTCAGCAGCCACACCCCGAAAATCACGCCCCCGATCGCCATCGGGATCGTTTCCAGCTCTCCCGACTCCCAGGTGTCCACCAGGGGGCCCCAGTAGTCGGACACCTCCTCCGCTGTCTCTTTCGCGGCCACCGCCGCCTCGTACATCGTGTGAAAGAGCGGCCCCAGCTGAAAGTCCATCCAGGTGCGCCAGGCGGCAAAGGCCCCGCCAGCCAGGAGCGGCGCAGCCACCCGTAGCAGAACAGGTTCTAGCCCGGGGCCCAGAACCAGTTCACGAGGCCCGCCTTCTTCGAGGCCTTCTTCTTGCCGCCCGACTTCCGGAAGCCCTTCTTCCTGCCCGAGACCTCGCTCCCCTTGACATTCTCGGCGTCCAGCTCCTTGCGCGCGATCAGGCGCGAGGAAGCAGCCAGCACCATATCCCTCGTCTTGTCCGTCAACCCTGGGAACTGTGTCCAGTTGCTGATCCTTTGCGGAGGCTTGGTGAAGACCGACTGCTTGTCTTTCAAGCTCACGATCTGCACCCTGAGGCTCGGGTCCATGCAAGTCCACGTCTTGTTAGCCGCCTTGCCAACTCGTTCGACCAGAAGCATGACCACGCCCAGGGCCTGCCCTTTGGGCAGGTAGTAGATCCTGTTCCACTGCGCCCAGCCGCCCATGACGAGCGGGGTGGTGCCGACGACGCTGACGTCGGCCGCAACGTCGATGAGCTCGCCCGCGAACCGCAGGCCGAGGAAGTCCAGGACCTGGTCCTGGCTCAGGCCGCTCCCCGCGGCCAGCACCTCCTCCTGGAGGTCGCCCGAGAGGCCCAGGAACGCGAGCAGCGCGCCCGCGAGCGCACACGGCCGCGGAATCGCTCCGCGGTGGGGGAGGCCGTACCCAGGCACGACCGCGGAAAGGCCCGCCACGCGGGCCTCGCCCGTGCCGACTTGAGCCCAAGGGGGGACGGAGGAAGACGGCGGGGGAAAGGCGGCTAACAGACTACGATGGGGGATGTAAAATTAACTTCAAGAACTACTAGGCTTTCCAGAGTGAGCTTGACCCATCATTTTACGACTGCCCGTGGCGACCGCGCGTACAGTCAACCCGCATAGTAAGGACTAACAGCCTTCCAGGGTTGCCCTATCCTTCCCACTCCGCCCACCCATTCGCTGGCCGCGCCCCGCTCGCAAAGGGTCGGCATGGTCCTCCAAGGCCTTCGCATCCTTCTTGATGGGTCTGTTTTCCACCACCACCATAAGTTGGACGGGGAAGGAGGTGGAGGACGAGGAGGAGGAAGAAGAGGAGGAGGAGGAGGAGGAGGAGAACCCCCTCCCCCTCCAACTCACGATGGTGGTGGTGGAAAACAGGCCCATCACTTCCTTCGCGTCCTTGCTATACGGGTTGAGTGTCGATGGCTGCGACCGGGTCGCTTGGAGGAGGTGGCATCGGTGCCTCGATCTTGGAGCTCAGACCCCCGACGCCGTGCTCGTTTCTCAACGTCGGCCCCCAGAGGTCTGGACTTGTCGTGTTCCAGCCGACTCTAGCCTTGACCACCAAGAAGAATCTCGAGCACCAAGAAAGCACCCAAACTGGAGGGTTTTCACGTGTCGGGCCCCCGGAGATAATCGTTCGACATTGTTTGGACACTGTATCGACACTTTTCCGGATGCTCGAAATTATTTGCGGGATGTGGTCTTTAAGCACGATGGGAACAACATAAGTTTGGACCCTTTCCCCAGGATCGGTTGCTCCTCCTGAACCATGTGATGACGGCCCCGAGGCCCGGGAAGGGAACCCAGAGGCCGGAAATAGCAAGAATAAGAACACAATTTCTCAGCACGAGGGGCTCTGGGAACCTCGATCGTCGACCCCCCCCCCGAGGCCGACTGGGCGAAGGAGGAGGCCGTGGAGGCGCAGCCGCGGGTCGGGTCGAAGCCGCGGGTCAGCCCGCGGGCCAGCCTGGAGCACACCGCGACGACCGTGGGGCCGCGCATCCCGGGCGGCGCCACGTCGCCGCGCCGCCCAGAAGTCCGGGAGGGGAAGGGTTAAGTCGGGCATGTCCCTCTACAGGAGGAATGTTCAAAAGTAGCCAAAGAATTTGTCAATGCCTTCGAGTATGGTATGGTTTTTTAGCCCAGAGATCCGACGTCTTGATTTGTTCAATGCGGGGTCCCGGGGAGTCTCGACCCATTCCCCGGGACCGATTTTTCATTCTGAGTCGTTTGTTGGCGGTCCCGAGGCCCGGTACAGGGCTCCTAGAGGACAAAGACTGTGAAAGACCTCCGTCGTACTTTTGTCACTGCGATGGACATCCCCGGCAATGTCGCATCCATAACCCGCCTGCAGGAGGGCATGCCCGACCTACCGTGGGGGGCCCATGCCGAGCTGGCCTCCAGGGTGCCCTGGGCTCCTTTGGTGTCGACGGTTTTGCCATGGGAAGCGTGACGTTCTCACACCAAAGATGCGGGCAATATTTATATCCGTATCCAGGGCGTCTTGGACTTTTGTGGAAGGGGCGCCGCAAGGCCGAGGCGCACTGGATATGGATAAGATTTGAGCCTCTAGTAGGGGCCTGATTTTTATCCATATCCAGTGCTCCTCGGCTTTCTGGGGAAGGGAGCCCGAAACCCCAAGCTGCAGTGGATATGGACACAAGTTTTGCCCGCAAAAGAGATCGATGAACGTCGGGTGGGGCTCCCTTTTCTTGGACCTCGATGGTTCTGCCGTGGAGAGCGTGACGTTTCCACACCAAAAGATGATCGATGGGCGTCGCGTTGGGCTGTTCCTGTGGAAGGCTTCTCTGTGGAGGGGCCCCTGCTGTCCTGGCGCTGTGGAAGTCGATCAACGGAGAGGAAGCATGCTGCCACATAATTTCCAGAGGTCTACCAGATGTTTCAAATCTGTGTCAAACATGTTACAAACATGCTTGACATACTTGTACTCAACATGTTTCACACAGGTTCAACACATCTCAGTTCAGTGGTAGGACTGTTAGAGTGTCCACTGCCATGGCACCCACAATCCTAGGAGAGGGGAGGGGAGGCCTGCGGGCGGGAGGCGCTCAGGCCCTCCCCTCGCGCGCGGTGCGACGCGGCCGCGCACGGGGGAGGCCTCTCGCTGCACCTCCTCGGCCTCCCGGGGCCCCCCCCCGGCAAAGGCCCCGGAGGCGCCGCCCCAGAGCACGGCTCGCGGGCCCAGAGATCGAACGCATTGAAAGCATCACGACGGAGGTGTTTCGCCAGCTTCGGCCTCTCCATAGGGGCCCTCGCCGGGCCCCAGGACCCCCCCAAACCAACGACTCAGGGTGAGAAAAACCGGTCCCGGGGAAGGGGTCGAGCCTTCCCTGGGGCCCCGCCATGGACAACATCACGACGTCGGATCTCTGGGGGAGGAGAGGGGCCGGAGGCCCGAGAGAGGGGGGCGAGAGCCACGCTCGAGGCGCCCAGGGGCCCCCTCGCGCGCCTGCGTGGCGCGGTCGCGATCGGGAGGCCCGTCGCTGTCTTCTCGGCCTCCGGGGGCCCTCGCGCCGGGCCCCGGGCGCAGTCCAAAGACGACGCGCTCGCGCAGGAGGGGGAGAGGGTCCCGCGGACGGGCGGCCGCTCAGGGCACATCGGGAGGGGACCAAAGACACACAGACACAATGAATCGTCGGTTGCCCAGAACAGATGGGAAAATATGGAGAGTGGGGGGGGGGGAGACAAAAGCCCAGAACATCTGGGAAACTATGGGGAATCCTGTTATTTGTGTCTATTTATTTGTGTGCCCCAGGGCCCCTCCAGCAAAGGCGTGTGAAAACTAGCAGGGCCCTCGCGCACTGGAGAGCACACGCCGGGACAACAAAAAATGCACACGCTCGGGCAGCCGGAGTCTGAGAGAGCTGGCTGCACTACAGTCAGCCCAGATTAGTAGGTCGACCCTGGCAAATCAAGGGTGCCCTTGTGTCCTGTGCCTCGTTCCTTTGCAAGCACATCGTCTTCGGCACCGCCTGATTCTGGGGCTCTGCCCCCATCCTGGCCTTGACGTGAGGCCCCTCCTTCTGCCCCCTCCCTTTGCGAATTAAAGCTGTGCGCGGCCCGCTTAGCTTCGACCGGAAGAGGTGCGCTCTCGACCCGCGGATCAAAAAAAGGTGTCCTGTGCCTCGCGACCCATGCTTCCTACATTCCTGTGGCAATGTGGCCCCCGGAAGGGTCCCGTGTCCTCTAAAGTGCCCTGCGCAGTCGGGTCCGACGGTGCCGGGCCGCGGGGCCTCTGCCGCAAGAGGGCGCCCCCGGCGCGCCCAGCCGGACACACGGAGATCGGGAGGAGAAGCCGGACCTGGAGAAGGGGGAGATCGACGCTCGAGGTAAGTCGGGCCTGTCCCTCTACAGGGGGAATATTCAAACATAGTATGAAGATAGTAGTGTTTTTTTTCATCAGTATTTTTTGACCATCTTGGAATATTTTCCGTCAGAGTGAGGGGACCGAACGGTCATTCACTGTCCTTGGGTGCGTGGCTGAAGTGGGATTCCGCGGTGCGGATTCTCGTTGTTGTTTGTTGTTGTTTGTTGTCGTCGTCCCACCCGCGACCCGCCCCGCGACCCACCCGCGACCCACCCCGCGACCCACCTTGCGACGCACCCGCGACCCACCCGCGACCCACCCCGCGATCCACCCCACGCCCCACCCCGCGACCCATCCGCGACCCACCCGCGACCCACCCGCGACCCACCCCGCGACCCGCCCGCGGCCCACCCCGCGACCCACCTGCGACCCACCCGCGACCCATCCGCGACCCACCCGCGACCCACCCGCGACCCACCCCGCGACCCACCCGCGACCCACCTTCGACCCAAACCACGTTCACGGTACAAACCACAATTTTCGGCGCCTGCGGCGGGCTTTTTTTGCATTCCTCCAGGTGGAGAGCCCGCGACCAACTCGCGACCAACCCGCGACCCAAACCACGTTCAAGGTACAAACCACATTTTTCGGCGCCTGCGGCGGGCATCTTTTGCATTCGTTTCAGGTGGAGAGCCCGCGGCCCACCCGCGACCACGTTCAGGGTACAAACCAAATTTATCGGCGCCTGCGGCGGGCTGCTTTTGCATTCCTTCCAGGTGGAGGTAGAGAGCCCGCGGCCCACCCGCGACCTAAACCACGTTCACTGAACAAACCAATGCCGCACAAGCGCGGCGGCGGATTTTTGCATGCCGTCTGAGCCCGCACCGACCTCTTCAAGCCCCGCGCATCCACACCAGCCCGTCCAGCAACTTTGCCCTGGCAGTTGCCTTGATCAGAGAAGTCGGGGAGCATAAAGTGGAAAAAAGGATTGCGTTGCCGTTATCTTGGGAAAGGAGGGGGAGGCAGGAGGAGTAAACAGGGGACGAGGAGGACGCGGAAGAAGAGAGGATGTAAGGAGAATGTGGAGAAAGAGGAGCAGGTGGACGAGGAGGGGGAGGAGGGGGAGGAGGGGGAGGAGGAGCACGAGGAGGGGGAGGAGGGGGAGGAGGATGATGATGATGGACGACAATGGGAGGACGATGATGGAGGCCGATGAGGGGGAGGACGACAATGGGAGGACGATGATGGAAGGACGAGGGGGGGAGAGGAAGGACGAGGATGAAGAGGAGGAGGAGGAGGAGGACGAGGTGGAGGAGGATGACGATGACGATGAGGACGAGGACGCGGACGAGGAAGAGAAGGAGGAGGAGGAGGAGGAGGAGGAGGAGGAAGAGGAGGAGAGCGTCATCGACAGGGAAGGTGGGGGCCACGAGGTCCGCCGGCTCGACGACGCCCGCGCCGCCCGCGCCCGCCCCCTCACTCTTATCCGCAAGTGCGGGGTGCTATAAACAGTATTTGTTTATTTTTCGTCGAAAATCCCCCTGCAGGGGGACACGCCCGACTTCACGCTCGAGGCTCCCAGAGCCCCTTATCGCGTGGTGACAAAAAGTCACGGCGGGAGGTCTTTTTGCTGTTGGTGCTGCCGCTATTTTCGGCCTCAGGGTGCCCTTCCCGGGCCCGTCCAGAAGCGACTCGGGATGAGAAACCGGCCCCGGAGAAGGGTGCCAGACCTCGGGGGTCGACGCTGTGAGCCAATGCACGATGTCGGGGGCCTGGGAGGCTTGGGGGGAGGGAGCGGGCGGAAGGAGCGAGGAGGGATTGCTGGAGCTCAAGGGTCTGTAGGGAGGGGGGGAGGGAGGGAGGGGATGGAGGATGTCTGGGTCTGTAGTTCCCCGCCCGGCAGGTTGGTGGGCCCCATGCTTGAGACGCAATGGCCCCCCCAGCCCGCCTCCGACACCCTCCGTATGCCGCGGCCGTCGGGCCCAGAGGGGCCACGTGCTCCCTGGAGACGTCGACCGCCGCTTGCTCTTCGGCGAAAGGCGGCTGCAGTGCCGCAGCCGCCAGGCCAAAGGGCCCCAGGGCCCCCTGCGGATGTCACCTCGCGCCCTCGGGCTGGGAGGGCTCGAGTCAGGACGGGGAAACACACACACACACACCAACATACTTATTCTATACATATATATATGGCCCCGGCCCCCCCAGATGGTATGGACCCAGGATTCCTCGGGCCCCCCCCCCCCAGATGGTATGGTCCCAGAGACGACGACGACGACGACGACGACGACGACGGCGACGACGACGACGACGACGACCACGACGACGACGACGATGGCTGCGGCGGCGACGACGCCGGCGGCGGCGGCGGCGACGCCGGCGGCGAAGACGACGACGACGACGGCCACGACGAGGACGACGACGACGACGACGACGACGACGACGACGACGACGACGACGACGACCTCTGAACCACCACAGCACCACACCACATCCACAGGGGGGGGGGGGGGGGGGCACCGCAATGCAGCACCACGCCACGCCCACCTCTGAACCACCACAGCACCACACACCATATCCACAGGAGGGGGGGGGGGCACCGCAGCGCAGCACCACGCCACGCCCACAGGGGGGGGGGGGGGGACCATCGCGTGGGGGGGGGAGGGGGGGGGGCAATAGCATCAACATTGGGGGAGGGGGGCCCAAGCCCTGGACCATATATGCGCCGCCCCCCCAGAGGCGACGCGCGCACCGAGAAAGCTTCTAGTGTATGCGTCTTGGCGAGCGCTTTCCGGCCACACCGCCCGAGAACCGATATACTACAAAATGGTTATACTATTTGTTCGGCTCGGACGTGCGCCTCCAAGGAGAACATATACATACATATATATATATATAGTACTAGTATGTCTTCGTGCGTCCGATGGGATGGGGGGAGGATGTGCCAAGGGAGGGGGGACGAAGTGGGGAGGAGGTGGTGGAGGGTCCAGGTGGAAAAGCTGGGATACGGAAAGGGAGGAGGAGGTGGAGGGAGGCCGCGGGGTACGCGGTTGGGGGAGATGGTGGAGAAATGGGGAGTAATAGGAGAAGCACTCAAAGTGGTGGAGAAGGGATGGGGGAGGCGAGAGATAGTAGTGTCTGCGAAATCGCACCGATCGCGCCGGTCCGAGTTACAGGGATCGCCGGGAACGCGGATCGCTACGGTGGCCGTGCAAAGCAGGACGTTACCGTCGAGCCATCTTCCTCACCCCTTGCCCCGTTTCTCCTTTTCATTCCCATCTCCCACATCCCCTCGTTTATCCTTTTCCTTTCCCCACATCCCTTCGCCTCCCTCGTCTCCACCCTTCTTTCTCCTTACTCGTCCCCCCGTCCCCATTCCCCTTTGGCTCCCCTTCCGAGTGCCTCTGTCTTTCTGTCCCCTCGTCTTTGTCTCCTTATCTCTCCCCCCTCTCCCCCTCTCCTTCTCTCTTCCACACGTCGCACGCTCGGGTTCCTCCCTGCTCCTCCCCCTTGCTTTCCCTCTGCCTCTTCCCTCTAGAGCTCTCCTCTTTCCTCCCCATCGCCCCACCTTAGTTGCCTTGATACGCGCGTTTTGAAACGCAGCACGTCCCGTGTTCAAGACGTCCGTGTCAATACGTTGCGTGCTGGCCCCACGTGTTGGACCACCGTTTGGCGCATGCATCGCGCCGGACCTGCGCTCTCGGCCTGCGTGCTGAGCTCCGCATCCGTACGACACGTGCTGCGTGCTGCGCATCGGGGCGCCGCGGAGCGCCCCGCCCCCTCCCCGCTCCCTCTCGGAGCTGCCCCGCCGACCGGCCCCGCGGGCGGCGCGATCCGACCAGGGGTCGCCGCGTGGACTCCGTCCTGCTGGCGTCGAGGGCCCCGGGCACGGGGGAGCGCGCGCGGAGGGGGATGGCCTCCTCCTCCTCCTCCTCCTCCTCCTCCTCCCCTCCTCCTCCCTCCTCTCCTCCTCCTCCTCTCCTCCTCCTCCTCCTCCTCCTCCTCCTCCTCCTCCTCCTCCTCCTCCTCCTCCTCCCCCTCCTTCCCCTGAAAGACACCGAGAGGTTTCCTCAGGATCCTGGCGCGTGTGCTGATGATGTTATGCACGCCCTGGGGTCCCGGTATCCAGTTGCTCTGCTGCGCATATGCGCATATCCGCCACCGCGCCCAGGGAAGCTTCGCTTCAAGGCCGCAGCGATGCGCGGGCGTGGCGTTGCAGGGTTGCTCGACCTACCTCCGGGGCTGACTCGCGGTTTCCTCAGGCCGGTCGGTTTGTCGAGCCGGCTTCGCAGGAGCCACGGCGGGAGCCCCCCCATTTCAGGAAATTAGCTTGCAAATCTCGCGACAATGCAGCAGGAGGAGGGTGTAGAGACAGGCAAATATGTACGTCGCATCTTCGGAAGACCTCGCCTGTCCCCAAAATTGGTATCTCTTCTTGTGCCCGACGCGAGCTCGATGCGGCCACGACGCGGATTTGGTGTGTATTCGACGTGGATTTGACATTGATTCGACACAGGTCCGACGAGGCCGACCTGGATTCGACACGGATTTGACGCGGAAAGGGCCGCCGGGGGACAGGTAAAGTCCCCCGAGGATGCAACATAACAACATCACGTGTTTGCGTTAGTTGTTTCAAGATGTTGTGGCCCTTGGATGCAGACCACCAGCTCCGCTCTATGAAGTCGTGCCATGTCTCGTGGAGTGCGGACAAGAGACATCAACATAGATAGCTGCGTTTGTCAACGTGTCCAAGCTCTCATGGGACCGCTTTGGGGGGTCTCGGGGGCCTCTTGGGACTTCTCGGGGGCCTCTGGGTAGTCTCTTGGAGCCTTTTGGGACCTCTATCTAGGGTGGGGCCCCTTCGGGGTTCTACGGGGCTTTTCAGACCCCCTGGTAGCCTTTCGGGAACTTCTTGGGGTCGCCACTGGGGATTTCTTGGGGGCTTCTTGGGGCCTCCATGATCATGTTTTGGACGCTCGGGTTGCTCCTGGGGCTCCTCGGTGGGGTCCTCTCGGGCCGTCTTGGGGCGATCTTGGGATTTTCCTGGACGAGCCAAGACCAAAACGACGAGACTGTCAATAATATGCGAGCAAAGCGTCGATGAGTAAAGCTTTTCGGATGCGTCCTGGAAGGCTTCTTGGGGCCCTCGAAGGCCTTCTTGGCGGCCTGTTGGGGCCGCCTCGGGGCCATCACGATCGTCATTGAGGCTTTGCTGGGCCGTCGTGGACGCCGTAAAGAGCCATCTTGCCCGACTTGAAGGCAGTACTGGCCGTCCTGGTTTCCAGAACGGGGTCGCCTTCTTTTTGGAGGCACGCATGGAACCGCCATGGGGGCGGCGGGCGGGGAGGGGAGGGTCCCCGGACCCCCTCCCGGCGTTCTGTATTCGGGGCGAGCTTCGGCCGAGAAGGCAACAAATGCAGGGACTTGGTCAACCAGATGACCGCATATTTGGCCTTATGCGTCGGGGTGGGGCTCCCACTATCGCTCCGCAAGAAGCGAAAGTGGCGAACCGAGCAACAGCCCGACACACACACACACCAGCCGTTGCAAGCGCGGTGGCGGAAAGGCAGGTTTCAGCCTGGGAGGGGCTCTGGTTCTGCGATCGGCGGGGCACCGAGGCCGCGACCTGGTCCGCCACAAGAGTCTCCAAGAGTGAGCGCGACTGTGCCAGGGTCCGTATCTGAAACATGATGGCCGTGGCGCGCTGAGGGGTTGAGAGGTTTTCCGTGCCCTCATCGAGCGCTCGTCCGATCCGGGCGGAGGCGTTCGTGACGCCCAGCTGGCATTCGCAGTGCCTCCTCCGCCTCCCGAAAAAACATGCACGTCCGTGCGATCAAGCGGTGTAGTCAAGCCAGTGCGCTTCGATGTTTGTCGCATGCGCGCACGCGGCGCGCATCCTTTTGCCATGTCTTCTCGGCACGGGAGGCGCGTATCATTCGCCCTCTCGTCAACAGAACAGCCGAGGAGCTTTCAGCGAACAGCATGTGGCCCAACGACAGTAATTAGTGATTATGGCTCACTGTATCCAGCTGCCTGCGGCAAACCTGATCGGACAAGAACGGGAAGCGCCGCTTCATTCCAATGGCCGTATTGGGCGAAGAAGGAGGAAAGGACGGCGAGGGCCACGAGGGGGAGATGACGAGGACGACGTGGAGAACGTGAAGATAGCGAGGAGGAGCATGAGGACAACGAGGAGGAAGAGAAGCACGAGGACGAGGACGAAGAGAACGAGGGCGCCGAGTGCCGATGGCTCACTGCAGCCAGCTGCCCGCGGCAAAGCCGCCACTGCGAGGCAACCCTCCGTGTTGTCGCCCGGAGGGCCGTCACGCGCGACACTTCTCATCTCCACCTCTTGCGAGCGTTCTCTTATTCGGCGTTTCGACATTGGGCGGAGGGGGAGGGGTGGAGGGAGGGGGGTCTGGCTCTGGACCCCTGCTTAGTGCGACTATTTGCGGCAGTGCGTCCTATGGGTCAAGCAGTGGCGAAGCGTCTGGGCTCGCCTGTAGGCCTACCAAAGAATGTTCAATCTTTTGTGGTCTGCACGAAATGTTACTAGAACTTGTCTGGCTGGGTCTGCTTTGTTTTGTCACATCGGGTTTATGTTCTAAGATCTGTGCCTTTGTTCTTAGAATTTTTTGGGGTTCTAAGAGCATGTCGTGGTAGGCCTATAGGAATGCCGGGACGGTCGGTCCCTGGTCAAATGGGGGAGACTCCATCTGCTTGAATCGGGCGCCTAAAACAGCCAAGCTCTACCCCATGGGGGGGGAGGGAGGAGGGGTGCGAGGGCCCGCGCCGATCGGCACAACAATGAATCTGGAAACTATCACCGTGAGGAGCTTCGATGGGGCCCGTTGGGGCCGTCTTGGGACTGTCTTGGGCCCCCTATCGGGCATCCTTCAGGGTTTCTGAAGGGCCCTCCTTTGCCGTCTTGGGGCTCGCTTTCGGGGAACAAATAATGATATAAACATAAAAACTCTGATGTCCGCGCGGACCTCGGAGTTTTCATGTTTGTGCCATTGTTGGTTCCCCTAGCCTTGGGACTGTCCTGGGCCCCCCTATCGTGCAGCCTTCAGGGTTTCTGAGGGGCCGTCTTGGGGCCCTCTTGAGGCCAAGAGGGCCGCCATGCCGCCCTGCCGGGCCTCCTTGGGGCTCTCCTGGCCGTCTGGGGAGTCTTTATGGGTCGTCGCCGAGCCGTCTTGGGTCCTTCAACTTTTCAGGACTTCCCAGGGATCCTTAGGAACCCTTGTTGGAATACTGGGAGATTATGGGGGATGCGTAGGAATCCTCATGCGAATGTAAGAATCCTTGCGGATCGAAGAGAATAGTTTGGATTTTTAGTGTATAATCAACCATCCTCAGGAATCCTTCTGGATATTAGTGCATCTTGAGGGAGCGAGAGATCCTCAGGAATCATCAGGACACCCTTGGAATCTTCAGGGCTCATTCGGAATCCTTCGGAAATTTTCGCGCTCCTCAGGGGTCCTTCTATGGATCCTCAGGGCTCTTCAGTACTCCTCCGGTGTCCCACCCAAAGCATTCTCATGAGTCACAAGGAATCCGTCCCAGCCCCCAGGGATTCTCGGGAACCCTCGGGAATGCGTGAGGCACCTGAGGAGTCGTCAGGAGCAGTCTCTTCCAGATACGTTCGGGATGCGAAGGAATTTTCTCGAGTCCTTGGGAATCTTTCGGGACCGTCAGGACGCTTCAGGAAGCTGGATGGATCCTCGGGAATTGTTTGGAATGCAGAGAAGCCCTTTAGAGTATAACGCGATGTTTCGCAATCGTCGGGGATCCTTCGGAACCTGCTCGGGGCCTTCTTGTGCCCAATGAATCCTCAGGAAGTCCCCAGGGACATCCAGGAGTCCGATGGAATCCTGGAAATCCTTTATAAGAACCCTGGGCATTCGATGGGACCGTGATTAATTCCCCACATCCTGAGTGGGTTTCTTGTTTTCCCAGAACGTCCTCTCCTTCTCCCTCCCGCCTCCCGCCTCTCATATCAATACCATGCCTACCGTTCCAGCCTCCCATATCATGCCATGCCTACCATTCCATACCATACCTACCCTACCCTACCCTACCATGCCATACCATACCATACCATACCATACCATACCATACATACCACACACTACCAAACAATACCATACCATACCATACCTACCATGCCATGCGACACCATACCATACCATATATACCACACAATACCGAACAACCATACCATACCAACCATACTATATAGCATACGTACCATACCATACCACACCATACCATACCTACCATACAATACCATACCATACCTACCATACAATAGCATACCTACCATACGATACAAACACATACAACACATACCATACAGTACCATACCAAACGACCCATCCAATACCATATCATACATACCTTACCGTACCATACCTGCAAGAGCGAGCAGGGCATCGGAATACCACACGATTTACTAGGTTTCGAGGAGGGTATCGGAAACCAATACTATTTACATGGTTTCGTGCCCCTCCCACCCCTCCAGGGAGGCCCCGCCTGAGCGAGGAGGGTATCGGAAGCCACAACTATCTACAAGGTTTCGTGCCCCTCCCACCCCTCCAGGGAGGCCCCGCCTGAACGAGGAGGGTATCGGAAACCCATACTATTTACATGGCTTCGTGCCATTCCCACCTTTCCAGGGAGGCCCCGCCTGAGCGAGGAGGGCATCGGAAACCCATACTATTTACATGGTTTCGTGCCCCTCCCACCCCTCCAGGGATGCCCCGCCTGAGCGAGGAGGGTATCGGAAACCCATACTGTTTACATGGTTTCGTGCCCCTCCCACCCCTCCAGGGAGGTGCCGTCTGAGCGAGGAGGGTATCGGAAACCCATACTATTTACATGGCTTCGTGCCCCTCCCTCCCCTTCAGGGAGGCCCCGCCTAAGCGAGGAGGGTATCGGATACCCGTACTATTTACATGGTTTCGTGCCCTTCCCACCCCTCCAGGGATGCCCCGCCTGAGCGAGGAGGGTATCGGAAACCCATGCTATTTACATGGTTTCGTGCTCCTCCCTCCCCTGCAGGGAGGCCCCGCCTGAGCGAGGAGGGTATCGGAAACCCATACTATTTACATGGTTTCGTGCCCCCCCCCCCCCACCCCTCCAGGAGGCCGCCCCGCCTGAGCGAGGAGGGTATCGGAAACCCATACTATTTACATGGTGTCGTGCCCTTCCCACCTCCCCAGGGAGGCCCCGCCTGAGCGAGGAGGGTATCGGAAACCCATACTATTTACATTGTTTCGTGCCCCTCCCACCCCTCCAGGGGGGGCCCGCCTGAGCGAGGAGGGTATCGGACACCCATGCTATTTACATGGTGTCGTGCCCTCCCCCCTTTCAGCGGGGCCCCGCCTGAGCGAGGAGGGTATCGGAAACCCATACTACTTACATGGTGTCGTGCCCCTCCCACTCCTCCAGGGAGGCCGCCCCGCCTGAGCGAGGAGGGTATCGGAAACCCATACTATTTACATGGTTTCGTGCCCTTCCCACCTCCCCAGGGAGGCCCCGCCTGAGCGAGGAGGGTATTGGAAACCCATACTATTTACATGGTTTCGTGCCCCTCCCACCCCTCCAGGGAGGCCCCGCCTGAGCGAGGAGGGTATCGGAAACCCATGCTATTTACATGGTTTCGTGCCCTCCCCCCTTTCAGCGGGGCCCCGCCAGAGCGAGGAGGGTATCAAGAAACCGTACTATTTACAAGCCGTCGTTTCCTGAGCACCTGTCTTCCCTCCTCCTTTCTTTCGTCTGCCTTTTCGTGCGTACTTACTCGTTCGATGGGCTTCTCCTTCGTGTTGATGTTGTCGTACCCCATGGGTCCCACGAAACCGTTAATATCTTTATGTGGGGAACTCCGTTGGCATACTTTTTAAACTGGTATTCAAGCATCCGCAAGAATCTAACAACATCCTGAAGAATCTTCGGGAATCTACAAACATTCAAAACAGCTTGTAACACAACTTGATGTATTCTTGGGAATCTAGATGAAATCGATGGAGCCTGGGGAAATAACGGGGAACCCTTCGGAAACCCAAGGGACCTTGATTAATCCCACGAGACCCCGAGGACTTTTCAGGGGATCGTGACAACTTTGCGAGGGACTCGAGGGAGATTGACGGGATCAGGAGAAATCGAATTCAAAGTATATTAGTGCATCGCGAGGGAGTGAGAGATCCTTAGGAATCATCAGGACACCCTTGGCATAATCAGGGCTCATTCGGAATCCTTCGGGAACTTTCGCGCTCCTCAAGGGTCCTTCTGGGGATCCCCAGGGCTCGTCAATACGTGTCCCACCCAACGCATTCTCACGAGTCACAGGGAATCCGTCCCAGCCCCTAGGAATTCTCGGAAACCCTAGGGAATGCGTAAGGCACCTGAGGAGTCGTCAGGAGCAGTCTCTTCCAGATACCTTCGGGATGCGAAGGAATTGTCTCGAGTCCTTGGGAATCTTTCGGGACCGTCAGGACGCTTCAGGAAGCTGGATGGGTCCCCGGGAATTGTTTGGAATGCAGAGAAGCTCTTTAGAGTACAACGCGATGTTTCGCAATCTTCGGGGTCCTTCGGAACCTTCTCGGGGCCCTCATGTGCCCAATGAATCTTCAGGAAGTCCCCAGGGACACCCAGGAGTCCGATGGAATCTTAGAAACCCTTTTTTATAAGAACCCTGGGTATCCGACAGGACCGTGATTGATTTTTAAGGATATTCAAGCATCCGCAAAAATCTGACAAAATCTTGAATAATTTTCCAGAATCTCAAACATTCAAAACAGCTTGTAAAACAACTTGATGCATTATTGGGAATCTAGATGAAATCGATGGAGCCTGAGGAAATGTTGGGGAACCCTTCGGAAACCCAAGGGACCTTGATGACTCCCACGAGATCCCGATGACTTTTCACGGGATCATGACAACTTCGCGAGGGACCCGAGGGATATTGACGGGATCAGGGGAAATCGAATTCAAAGTCCTGACGGCCCCTGAGGAATCTCGAGGGCCCCCCCTCAGGAATTCGGACGCCTCTTCAGGTTTGTGGCGGCAGCGTCAGGACCTCCTATCTGGTCGCACAGGGACCGCTCGAGGCAGCACGGGGATGGCACACGAGCTACCGTTATTGTTTTGGGGGAGCGCGCCAGGGGTGCCAACACCCTTTCCAGCCCCGTAGGGGGACCTGCCGCCGTCTCCAGCTCCATGGGGCAAGCCCGTGGCACCAGCGTGGGTCCTCAGAGATGTCAACATATCAACAACAAGTCGAGGAAACAAGTCTCAACAACAACATCTCAACAACAAGGACAACATGTCGTCGTTGCTCCGAACACAAGCACAAGCCAACCCAGCCAACCGTTATTTTCATGCCTTAACTGCCACGCGCAGACGGCGCAGACCCTAAACCAAGAAGGGTAAGAAAGGCAAAAGGTAAAGAGCGGTGAGGAAAGAAGGGGCGGAAAGGATGGAGGAGGGAATAGGAGCGGGGAAGGGAGGACGATGGAGGACGAGAGAGACTAGCAGGAAGGGAGGACGATGAATGAGCTAATAAGCAAGGGGCGGGCCCAGGCGGGTGGGTCGGGCGGGGCGGGCGTGCCCTTACGGGCGAGCCAGTTGGGCGGGGCATGACGGCGGCAGCGAGTGGCTACTGCGGGTTTGGCGAATTCTTGGGTAAGCCGTAGGAAGAGCAAGCCATTTGTATAGAGCGAGGCTCTTGGGCAAACTGCGGGGAAGTCCAGAGCGAGAACGGCATGCTTCGGCGCAGTGCGAGGAAGTCCCGAGCGAGAGCGCGATCCCCTAACATAATTAGCAGGGGCCGTTTCGTGTACATCGCCCGGGTGTTCTGCGACAGAGCGTGACCCGAACAATTTGCAAGCAGGTCCCACGCGAGAGTTCGACTCTTTGTTAACACGTAAGGACGTTCCGAGCGGGAGCGCGTTTCTTCAATGAGTTGCGAGGGAGTGTTGGGCGGGGGAAGTTAAATCTTTCTTTCTAGGGGATAGTAAGTGTTGAATCCCTCCCTCCATTGCCCCTGGTATTTGACTTGAAGTATTCCTCCTCGATGGGAAGGTCTTGGGCCTCAGAATCCGCTGCTAGCTCCCACGTGATACTTGTCAACATTTGTTTCAAAGTCGCGCTCTCGTGCGGGACTTCCTGACGATGTATCCAGAAGTCGAACTCGTGCGTCGCATGTCCTTGCAACTCATTGAGACGCCTTGCCTTCGACACTTCGGAATCACGCTCACGCTTTGGTTTTCCTCTCGATTTTTCTTTGGAAATCGCGATGTCGCTAGAGGCTTCCTCGCGATTCGTGCAGGACGAACGCTTCAGCGACCCGCCGTGTGGGCCCGCCCGCCCGACCCGCCCTGCCCGACTTTCCCGTCTGGTTCTGCCGCTTGCTTTTCTGTTCAGTGCCCCCCTTCTGTTGATCTCTGTCGTGCTCCATCCCTCTCCCTTCCCATCCAGTCCCTTCTCCCCTCCCCTGGTTGAAGGGCTGCGCCAACCACACCCGGGAAGATACGCCCCCAAGGGGTGGTGTGATCAAAGACGATGAGGGCGTAGATCGTGCATTGGGGATGCGCATGTTCGATGGCACGTGGGCAACGAAGAACGAGCACTCTTAAATTGATAGTAGTTGTTGTTCTTGTTGACATGTGGCCCACCCTGAGCCTCAAGATCTTCTTATTCATTGAGTAGACAGGGTACGGGATCCAGGAGGTGCACTTCAAGGGGAAAACATTTGAGGGTGCACCAGAGGGGGGATCACCAGTTATCTTTCTTCAGTAATGATTTCAACAACCCGGATAGCAATCGAGTTACTTGCTTTCGTTATGACCTGCTCGCGCGTCAACCAAAATGTATACCCTAAAACCTCGATGCCCGCCCTCTTCGTCGCTCCCTCCTTGGGGGCGTACCTTCCTCACCCTCCTCGGGTAGTTCGCGCAGCCTCTAAATCGGGGGGATGAATCAAGGGAGGGAAAACCACCCGGACCAGACAATTGGCGTCTATTAAGCGGCCCGGGGCGTTTACTAAACAGCCCGGCCCTATTTGATTCCTTCTTTGGGTGCGTTTGCTAAACGGCTTCGCGTGTCGGGGTGATTATTGCCGGGGTGGATTTTCTGCCCTCTAATGAAGGAGACAGGAAACACACATATAGCGAGGAGGCAAGGGGAGTGGGAAGGGAGGGACCAGGGTGGAGCACGACAGATGTTCGCAGGAGAGGGGCGCGTGGAAACAAGCGGCAGAACTGTGGGGCCACACGCGAACCCTACCCCTATACCCCCCACGATTTCTGAGGGGGAGGGTGGGGTTCACTTCGTTCGGGAGCTCCCGAGCGAAGTGAGCCCCACCCTCCCCCTTAGTGGGCCCTGGAAACGACAGGGCGGTGTTTTTTACCGGTTCCGTTTTTCCGTTTTTTTGCCAGTTCCGACGCCGTTTTTATGCTCCGTCGCTGTTGTTTTACGGGTTCCCGCTCCGGTTCCAATCCTGGAGCCGTTTCTGTTGCCGTTTCCGGTCGCCGTTTTTTTGCCGTTTCCACTCTCAAGGGACCATTTTTCGGAAACGGTGAAAAAACGGCCCTGCCGTTTCCGGGGCCCACGAAGCCCTCCCCCTCAGAAATCATGGGGGGTAGGGGCAGGGCTCGCATGTGGCCCCCTAAGAACCAAACGGGCGGGTCGGGCGGGCGGACCCTCGCGCCGCGCGGGTCGGGCGGGCGACCCCCCCACGGCCGGGTCAAGCGGGCGGGTCGCTGAGGCGTCGGTCCTGCGTGAGCCGCGTGGGTCCCGAGGAAGTCCCGCGCGAGAGCGCGAGTCTTGCGTAAGTCGCACGTGCGTCCCTAGCGGGAGCGCGATTCTTCAATAGTTTGTGCGGAAGTGTACGGCAGGAGTCGCTGCGGTTGTCGACTTGGAGCCAGGGGCCCAGTTGGGAGACCCACGGCTGTGTTGCCTTTGTGGAGACCGGGTGCGAGCCGGCAAGTACCGCCACCGTGCTAGCCAAGCATTTTGAGTGGCGGCTGTTCGAGGGGGCACACGTGTGACATTTCGTGTCCCCAGGTTTGGGGGAGCCGCGATGATGATGATGATGATGATGATGATGATGATGATGATGATGATGATGATGATGATGATGATGCTGATGCTGATGCTGATGAATGATGAGGATGAGGATGAGGATGAGGATGGATGAGGATGAGGATGAGGATGAGGATGAGGATGAGGATGAGGAGGAGGAGGAGGAGGATGAGGATGAGGATGAGGATGAGGATGAGGATGAGGATGATGATGAGGATGAGGATGAGGATGAGGATGAGGATGAGGATGGGGATAATGAGGATGAGGATGAGGGTGAGGATGAGGATGAGGATGAGAATGAGGATGCGGATGATGATGATGATGATGATGATGATGATGATGATGATGATGATGATGATGATGATGATGATGGTGATGGTGATGGTGATGGTGGATGTGGTGGTGGTGGTGGTGAGGAGGAGGAGGAGGAGAATGAGGAGGGTGAAGATAGGGATGGTAATGAGGAGGATGGAGTCAAGGAGGAGGAGGAGGAGGAGGAGAAAAAGGAAGAGGAGGAAGAGGAAGGCCGTCACATGTGGCATCTGTCGTGTCCACTATTTTCGCAGCCCTCATGGAACTTGTTTTTGCTGTCTTGCGGCTGGGGGCCCTGTTGGGCCAATTTGCTCTCGCAGGCCGTCTTCGGTTTTTTGAGAAATCTTGGGGATCTCTTGGCCGCATGGTGAGTGCCTGGGGGCCGTCGTGGGGCCGTCTTGGCGCCATGTTGCGCAATCGAAGAGGACGAGGGAGCCCTCTTCAGCCTTCTTAGGGCCGCCTTGGACGCACGTTGAGCCCTCATAGCCTCGGGAGCGTCAAAGCGTTGTATTGTTCGGAAGATTGTGGGTTCGGGAGCGCGACTCGATTGCATTTTTCGATGGGCTGTGGCCTCGAGAGGGGGGCGACTCACGCATGGCAGCGCGATGAAGAGGGGGGTGCCCCGTATAAGATTACATAAATCTTTCCAGACAGCACTTGCAAGTCTAACACACTCCAACGTGCCGGGGGCTACCTTTTCCGGAGTCTTCAGGAGCCAGAGCTCAACAAAGAAGTAGACCCCGGGTGGCGAAATCCCACTTCACCCGCGCCCCCAGGGGATAGTGTTAGACCGTTTGGCCCGCTCACTCTGACCAGAAACACCTTGGCGTTCTATCACGCTCCAAAGTGCCTAAAATGTAGGACGGGCAGCTTTCAACACATAAGCGCTGCTGACATGGCCTTGGACCGTCTGAGCTGCTTGAAGCGGATCGGCGCGGAGTTGAAGACTCCTCGATGGTTCTGCGCACGTTTGTGCGACACCGCTACATTATAGCTCCGGTACGCGCTGCTTTTGCTGCCACCAATTTGCTGATTCAATCTCGCATCGTCCTGATTTCCGGGGCGTTTCCGGGGCGCCGTCCTCATTTCGAGGGCGGGACAAGCCACACCCCTCCCTTTCTCATCCTCCTTTCTCTCGTCCTCTTCCTGCTCCTGCCTTTCATTATTCTTCTGCTGGTGCTGCTCGCCTTGTCCTCCTTCTCTCGATTTCTGCCACAGTGTCGCCGCTCCGAAGCATTGCTCACTGTACAGAGTCTTTTCTCAGGGGAGCAGGAGGAGGACGAGCAGCAGCTGGAGAACGACCAGGAGGAGGAGAAGAAGGAGGAGGAGGAGGAGGAAGAGGAGGATGACGAGGAGGAGGGGGTGGACAATAATCAGCAAGAGCCACGGCACCAGCATCATGCGAGGGTGAGGGGGGGGGGGAGAGATGGAGCACCATAAAGGTGCAGGATAAGGCTGACGAGCAGCGGCGATGGCCGACTCCTGCGAATTCTTCTCCAGGTGCTCCTCCTCCCACCCACCACCCTCTAGAATACAGGCCCCCCCTCGTCTATTGCATCCCCTGCCAAAGACTAGAGGGCCCCTTGTCACTGTCAAGATATTGAGGTATTCAGAGTGCCGTTTGGGCGACAGGGGAGGGATGAATATAGAGATATTGATTGTCCTACCATATGTATGTATGCATGCATGTGTGTATGTTTGCATGCATTGATGTATGTATGCATGCATGTACATATGTAGGTGTATATGCATGTATGTGTGCATGCCTGTATTCATGTATGCATGTAGACGGGTATCTGTATAATTGCATCGGAACATATGCATATACATATAATTCGTGCGTGTATATGTGTATATCTATATATATATATATACACATATATATATATGGTGCATACATGTGCATACATACATGTTAGCTGTGTGCGCCTCTCCATGCAGCTCACACGAGGCCCTGTGCGATACATACAGGGCGTGCTGGCGCAAAACACATTTGACGAAGGCATCAGGCACACGACAGCATGGACGAGGAATATGGCAGCTAGCACCAATGGCCAGGCCTCGGGCGCCAGACGACCTGTGTGCTAGCCTTGGTTGGGGGCAGCGGTGGTGGTAGTAGTGGTGGCGCGCGCGTGTGTGCTTTCGCACTCTGGGGGGCGAGACAGGGGGGGATGGGGCTTCCAACGGATTCCTTTTTCGCGGGGGGGTTTACACCTAGAGTCTTTTCGGGGGGAGTACTCAGAGACTCTTCTTCCCCCCCCCCCATTGACAGTGGTTCGCCCTCTCCCCCCCCCGCCCTCCCCCAGGTGCCCTACAAGCATGAACTTGACGCACAAACTATTCACGAGCCCCTCCAAAAAAACAAGTCTTCAGCCTACTTCCCCTGCGGCCCCTTCCAAACCAAAACGCAAGGGGAGGCATGCAGCTTGCAAAATCGCACGGCCGCCAATGGAGCAGACAACGTATGACTTATATTGAAAAGCTATCATCCGTTTAGCCATTTCGCAAGTCAATCGTGCCATGCGGCAACCTCCACATCGCCACACCGCAATCCCTCCTTCCCGATGGAGCGCAGTAATTGTAGGATGGCCGCTGTTCATTACATTTGCGCGTGCTAGCCGTGCTTCCGTGGCCTTAGACTGACTGGCATGTTGTGAGCGGATGGGCGCAGAGTTGAAGACTCTCGCTTGGTTCCGACATGGCTGGGTCTGGAGCGAAGTAGCGAAGTCAAGACTTGTTTCTGACATGCATAAGCGCTACACTTCCAGGTGTGCCCAGGGCAGACTGCAACAGGAACATGCAAAGTAACCCGAGTTCTTCTTATTGTGCAGATGTGCGCAGTTGCAGTCTACCTTCCATGTTTCGGTCTTGAGTGGGATGTGGGGAGAAAAGGGAAGTACTTCGCCGGACCGCATTTATGTTCATGACTGCAGGCAGCTCGCTTCATCGAATCAACTGTGCTGCGCACAGGGCTGGCACCAGAGTGTGCGTTGGACGAGCTACAGTCTGCGAGCAGTCCAGGCAGTTTTTTCCGTTGATGTTGCGTGTTCAGCATGTCTGCTTCGCTCGGCTGATGTTGGCAAGGGCGGTTTTCGCGATCGTTGATTGTTTTTGCCCCGCCAGGGCATGATACAACAAGTTCTCTGTTCTCTGTCACGTCTGGATCCGCATTCGTGTGCCGAGCCCCAACGTTCTGTATGCCGAGCTTCCGCTGGGAATGTTGACACATCTTGTGGTACCCCCAGATGGAATCGATGACGATGACGGTGGCGATGATGGGGGATGATGGGGGATGATGTTGATGCTGTCAATGTTGATGAATATGAGGACGATGATGTTGACAATGTCGATGATAACGATGCCCACGATGATGCTGATACTGATGATGATGGCGATGGTAATGTTGATGTTTATGTCGTTGCCGGTGATAATATTGGTGGTGACGTATTTGATGGCGAGGATGATTATGCTGATGATGAGTATGATGATGTTGCTGACGATGATGATGAGAATGATGATGTCGCTGATGTTTATGAGGATGATATTGAAAGTGCTGTTCGTGACGTTGATGGTGATTGGGATGATGATGTTGACGAGGGTGCTGGTGATGATGCTGTTGGTGACGGTGATGTGGATGAGTTGACGATGGCTCTCCCCATCAAGCCACAGTGAATCTCCCGAGCCTTTGGCATCCCCTATCTCGGGAAGAGGTCGAATGACCAACCTTCGTCCCCAAACGTGATTTCTTCATGGCGTGATATTCTGACGACGTGGTTCCTCTCGAGTTCTCGACCCGGAGCCTAGAAGGAGGGGGTGTTGGTTTTGATATGCCAGGGGCCTGTAGCCACTCCATGGAGGTTTGAATGTTTGGGATAAGACGACCGCCGTCATGTCTTCACGCCGCCCGGTCCCCTCGAATTCGGGCGGTGCATGTTCTTTACATTCGGCGTTTTCGCCCAGTCTGGGGCCCGGGGATCATCACGTGTCGATCTGGCTCGAACGTTGCTGCAGAAAGATGCAGTCTGGGGCTCCGGTCGTGGTTCTTGGCGATGTTGGCATTGTTTCGCGACGTCGCTTCTCAGGGTCTTGGGCTTCCCCCTCGCAGTCGACCCCCTCGGACCCATCCACGGGTGCATTCTTGCCACAAGCTCGAGCCGGATCCACCCGCGGGGACACGGGCCCCACGGGAGGCCCACGAGGAGCGATCGGTTCGAACTCTAGTCTTCCTCGAACCTCCGGGCAAAGGTGGCCTCCTCACGCCGTGCTCGAGGAGAGCCCGTCGCGCCCTGTGCGTGTCCTCCTCTCGCGCGGAAGAGACGGCCGGCCTTGACCACTGCCATCGTCCTTTTCATCCCCTCCTCCTCCTCCTCCTCCTCCTCCTCCTCCTCCTCCTCCTCCCCCCTCCTCCTCCTCCTCCTCCTCCTCCTCCTCCTCCTGCCCCTCCTCCTCCTCCTCCTCCCCTCCTCCTCCTCCTCCCTCCTCCTCCTCCTCCTCCTCCTCCTCCTCCTCCTCCTCCTCCTCCTCCTCCTCCTCCTCCTCCGCCCCCTGCTCCGCCTCCTCCTCCTGCCCCGCGTCGTCCTCCGACCGTCGCACATTTTGGCTCGAGCCAGCTTCCGTTCAAGCCAGCTGCTGGCCTCGGATGTTTCCAGGGCTGCACCACGTTGTGTGCGTACGTTGGTACACCTTAGGCGATGCTTAAGAAAACTTACGTTCTCGGCCAGAGTCTCGATTATTCTTAACGTTTGAATAGAAATGTTGGGTTAGATGTCAAGTTCTGAGACTATGAATTTCTTAACCCATGATTTCTTAAGCATTTCGCAGGGTGTACGTTGGTACGTGTACCTCATCTTTTGCAGCTTTGATATGCCATACGTCTCGTTCTCGCCTCCTGGGAGTATGTTACAGTTTGTTTGCAACGGTGGGTCGTCATGCCACAGTCTGTCGCTCATATTCTCTGGTGCTGCATCTCGTCTTTGCCATTGTTATGCTTTCTCCTGTCGAGGCTTCCTGGTGCTGCGGGTCTGCATTGTAGATGCATCGTGAATGTCACAGTGGTTATCCTGCTGCTTGCTTGCCCGACCCGGTGTGGTTATCCTGTGGTTATCCTGCTGCTTGCTTGCCCGACCCAGTGCGCCAAGGACGTGTCAAGAGGGCGGAAGCAGGTTCCTCCTCTCCTCCTCCTCCTCCTCCTCCTTCTCCTTCCGTAGCCGCGTTGGCTCGAGATCCTCTGTTCATAGTCAGCCCGCGGCCTGCTCCGATGAGTCTACACCCTTGTCGGGGACCCCGTCGGCCGCACACGCAGCGCTGCGGTCGGCGCTCTCGCCCCAGCCGCTCTGCAGTGTGGGGGCAGGTCCATGCCAGATTGGGCTCGTAATGATGGGCCTGTGTTCCACCACCATCACCACCATAAGTTTGAGGGGGAGGGGGTCCTCCTCCTTCCCCTCCTCCTCCTCCTCCTCCTCCTCCTCCTCCTCCTCCTCCTCCTCCTCCTCAACTTGATCCTCCTCCTCCTCCTCCTCCTCGTCCTCCTCCTCCTCCTCCTCTTCGTCCTCCTCCTCGTCCTCTTCGTCCTCCTCCTCCTCTTCGTCAACCTCCTCTTCGTCGTCCTCCTACTTGTCCTCCTCCACATTTTGGCTCAAGCGGTTGCATGGCCTCGCCCGCGCGCGCCTCCTCCTCGGCGAAGCGCGGCTACGGAATGTCGGGGCCTAGAGGGGCTCCCTCGGCCCAGCTCGGCGCCTCCCTGGTCGAGGCCGCCGTCCGGGCCGCGGTCGCCGCCGGGGCGCCGCGGCGCATTGTCGCCGCCGTCGCGCGGTCGGCTATCTCCGCCGCGCTTTTTGCGTGCGGGGACGCGCCGACGGCGGCGGCCGCGCGTGACGCTACTGCTGCACGTGATGCTCGCGCGCCTCCTGCTGCATCGCCTGCCGCTTCCGCGGCCAAGGCGGAATGGCGGAGGCGCAGACGCCGCCGCCTCGCGGAGCGGCGTGCCGCGGAGGCGCCCCCTGCTGCTGGCGCGGCGGTCGAGGGCGCCGCAGTCATGGCGGGTCCTGCTGCTGCTGCTGCTTGAGCGGGCCCTCGGCCTTTTCGAGCCGCCGTGGAGGCCGCTGACGACAACGCGATGTTCGAAGACGCCTGGGCCAACGGCCTGGTGCGGCCTTCGCCACCCGCTGCGGCGGAGCAGCCTGCTGGTGCTGCTGCCGTCGCTTCGGGCGGGCCGCCGCCCTCGCCTGCTGCGGCCGCGGGCTCGCAGGTCGAGGGCGTCGTGGCCCCGTCCTCGCCCCTGCAGGACGACAGCTGGGCCGACTTGGTCCCCGCGCGCCGCGTGGCGCCCGCCGTGGAGGCGGTGCACCTTGCCGCGGCGGTTTCTGGTGGAGCTGCTGGTGCTGGGGCTGCCGCTGCTGCCCCCCCCGACGGCCGTCTTGCGGACGACGTGGAGGATGAGGAATGGCGGCGGGCGCTGCTCGCGCGGGCGGCGGCGATAATCCGAGGCGCAGGGTGATCGTCGTCCCTCTCACTGCCCATTGGTGTCCTCGCCCCCTGTCGCACGGCAGTGGGGTGTCTTCTCCTCTGCGGTGACTGTTGCTCAGGAGGCCGCCAACCTTTCTGTACAGGTTACGCGGCAGGCACGGGGGAGGAATTGCCCTCCCCGACCGCATGCCCTGCTGATGCGCTGGATGTTTGTTTTCTCTTGCGATGAACACGGGGCGGTCGCCCGTCGTGTGGCCAGTGCCTCCTAGCTCATGGGGCTGCTGGAGGTACGCTTTCGGTCAGTGAGGTCTCCCTCACTGCCAGCAGCGGTTTCCCAGCTGCCGCTGCTGTGTTTGTTTTTCACCGATGCTGTGCGGACGTTGAGCTCAACACTTGTCCTCCTCTAATGTATGGTGGTGGTGGTGGAAAGCAGGCCCATCAACTCCAGATGGGGCTCGAAAGTCCAAGAGAGCTGTGGGCACCAAGATAGAGAAGCCGAGCGCCGATGTTCCTGGTGCTTTTGGTCCTCACTGTGGTGGCGAGGACGAAGACAGGTTCCGATATGGTGGATGCGCTGGCAGCGGCGGCGGCGGTGCCGAGGATGCTGCGCGAGAGCCGGTGACCACGTGCGCGAGCTCGTCCGCGTCGGGATCCCCGGATTCTTTTTGCAGTTCAGACAAGAGTGCGAGCTCGCCAGCGCGGCAGCGGCGGCAACGCAGGCGGTGGAGGCCCCCACCGACGAGGCATTCATGCGGCTCGCGGACTCGATAAAACGGGCCCCTGGAGAAGCAGCAGCAGCAGCTGCAGCACGCGTCAAGCTCGAGTTCAACGGTTTCGAAAAGTGCATCCAGAGCCAGGTCGACAAATCCAGCACCAGGTTCAGCGAGCGCGACACGAAGCCCGAGGAGCACGACAAGCAGTGCAGCGACCTCCAGCAGCAGATGGAGCAGCTCCGTAGGGAGCTGGCCCTTGCCAGTCGCGCGCCGCAGCCCCCCGAGCCAGCTGACAGGAGCTTCGAAATGGAGGTCGGCC